AATGTATGTTGTTCAGTAAAAAGAGAGAAAAGAGATCTGAGTTAGGTCTCAGCCTGCCCTACCCTAAATACAGAACCTTACACAGGCTGCTCTGTGAGCAGCAGCTCACTCAATACGAGATGTGACAACACTCACATTTCACAGGAGCACTGTAAGGTTTAATAAGAGTGTCAGCAATCTCCCTGTACCTTTTGTTCATACAAATATACTCCATAAATGTTAATATTTACTCTCACTCCTGTAGTAACAGCGTTTTCTAAAGGGACTGAATGGAGAGGAGATATTTAATACCAAGGAATGCATATCTTATGGTAGAATTTCAAGCATAGGCACATCGAAGTACAGTAGATATCTTGAGGCACAGAAGCATTCCCCTGAAACCAACTGTTTACTTCACTTATCATGACATAAAAGAGCCTCAGATTACTGTAAATATTTATAAAATACTTAATCTTCAGAAAAAACAAACTACTAAGTATTAATGAATTCTCGTTAAAATACAAAGGTAGTTAATACACTATAACGTCAATAGAAACCATTAACATCAACCACTCTAAAGCTGACAATGGGATGATAAAATCCTAAGTGTTTTAATAAGCAACAACTATTCTTATACCAACAAAATTATACTTACAGAAGGGAAAGATCAAAACACGATTTTCATTAGGGTACATGTTAGAATAAATTCCCACAGCAACTAGGTTTAATTTTGCCACTTTAAAATTAACACTTAAAAGCTGATGCTTACTTATTTGCTTAAGAACAAAACAATAGAAGATAGAATGCTTTTTAGGACTCAAAAGCACTGATGCTAAACTTTTTGTTCTATATAGTGGAGCTCAAAATAATTAGTGTCAGAGTTTATCTAATTTTGATCTTCTAGAAATTATTGAATTTTCAACACTGAAAGACAATAAAGTTTTCTTCCTATATCTACCATGACATATTCCTGAAATTCCTAGGATTTTTATTATTATAAATTTCATTAATTTCAAACTAAATACATTATGTTTCTTGAGAAGTAGAGGAAAAAGCATGATTTTTAGAAGAGAAAAGAGACTGAAAAAGACTTTTATCTGGATGGGCATTGTGACCCAAATTGGAAAGAGTGTTTCTCCGTCCACAGCAGCCGGCCTGTCTGTTCTATGCAGCAGACACTTTCGTTCGTTTACTAAGGGAAAAGAATAAAAAGATAAAGGAGGAAATATCTGAGGCACACCACACCTATATTAGTTAAGGTAATTTATTCTAAATAATTAGTATGAAGAAGGGAGTTGAGGGCTCCAATAGGGCATTACAGATCATCAAAGATCTGAGAGAGTTCTCTATCCATAGTTAATACTCAGCGAAGACATACCAAGATGGCTAAATCAGATTTGTATGACAAGTATCTGCTCTCATTGCTTTGGGCCCATGCCATATCAGCTGTTTTAATGTATTTACTATCACTAGGACTATAGTCTGTTGGACTGGGATTGCACCTGGCAGGCCCAGACTATCTGCCTCAGAGGCTCTAGATTTTAAGGTTCCACTTAAAGGCATATATATATATGTCAATCTATATGATTTATATATAAATAAATATACATAAAAATAAGGGGGGAGAGAAAGAGAGAGGCACGCACTATATAGGTCCTTGTGCACTGAAGTCATGCGAAGAAACTAGATTGTCAGTTTCAGTGCATTTCTGCAATTCTTTGACATTTGGGATATGCTTGTGGATTTTAGATAAGCCAACCAGGTACAAATCATATTAAAAAATGGTGTAAGAGTAGGAAAAAAACCCTACATTTGGATTAAAATCCTGTTCCTTCCTTTTAATTTTATGACCCTGAGGAAGTTATTAACATCCCTGAGTCTTCGTTTCATCATCTTTAAAATGGAAATCAGACTACTTGCCTCACAGAATTGTTGTAAAAGTTAAATTACATACAACATGTTATAATATTTGTATAATGAACACATAAGTGATCAAAAATGCCTACTGAATTTGAATCTATTCAGGATGGAAGATACAGTTTACATTTTCAGGCTCACAATTTAGAAAGAAATTTTTTAAAAAGGGCAGGCATACTTAAAAACACTTAAAGGTTTCAAAGGTAAGACCTAAAGAAATCCATATCACTTAACCTACAGAAAGAAACCTACAGCTATTCAGTTTATCACTTTCATAAGCTAACAAAACAAGAGAAGAAATGGTTAAGATCAAGGACCAAGAATTTGGGTTAAATAAAAAGAACTTTAAGTGTATTATTATTATTAAAAATTATAAATTAGCAGAGATATGAAATATGTGAATAAATAGTTTCTAAAACAGATAGATTATATCAATGTGTAATGGTGATCTTATCTTATTTGAAGACTAAGCAATCCTCAAATCTGTTATAGAGTGAAAATTCCAAGGAAACAGAAAAAGCTAGCAGTCAAGAAACTGAAGTCTTTAGTAGCTTCTGCTGCTAAACATTTGATACAGCTTAGGACTTACACTTCAATAACCTTAGCCTCAGTCTCCTCATTTACAAATTAGAGAGTATGATTGTGAATCTGTTTTAGTTATAAAAAATATGATTTTAAGGCTAGGCGCTATGGCTTACACCTGTAATCCTAGCACTCTGGGAGACCGAGGCAGGGGGATTGCTCAAGGTCAGGAGTTCGAAACCACCCTAAGCAAGAGCGAGACCTCGTCTCTCCTAAAAATAGAAATAAAATTAATTGGCCAACTAAAATATATAGAAAAAATTAGCCAGGCATGGTGGCGCATGCCTGTAGTCCCAGCTACTTGGGAGGCTGAGGCAGGAGGATTGCTTGAGCCCAGGAGTTTGAGGTTGCTGTGAGGTAGGCTGATGCCATGACCCTCTAGTTCAGGCAACAGAGTGAGACTCTGTCTCAAAAAATATATATATATGATTTTAGTTTAATATGGTGTATGGCTAACATATGGCAAGAAAACAGAGGTAAGCTATGAGAATGCATCAGTGATTACTTACAGTGAGACAAAGAACAGGAACAAAGGCATCATAATAAAAGAAATTATTATTTTGATGCTATAAATAGTATACCACATAGCCTGAAATTTTTTAATCAGCTTGGCAAGATATTTACAACCAAGAAACTACCTATCTAGGTCACTAATACCAATACTGTACATGAAAATACAATCAAGTAACAATTATACATTCTAATGCTTGGTACTAACACACCATGCCTGCCATCTGAAGGTCATTTTAAAAAACAGCACAAATACTTTTGACATTAGGTTTTGCTCATGAGAATAAAAATATCTGCATTCTCAAAGCATACGGAAATTAATGATGACAGATGCTAAGATATGTGAGGTTGTAGAGGGATTAATAATTTCATCCCTAACATACCAACCATGTACTCTAAAGATATAGATTCCATTCATCTATTAGTAATAATGTACCATAAAAATACTTGATATTTTCATTTAAAAATTAACCCACCAAATAGAAGCATTTTACAAAATATGAAATGAAATTCAGTGTCTTAGAGCTGTCCTACTTCCACAAAGAAACTGAGATGACATGCAATAAAAGACATATGAACAACTGGTGACTCTGGCCATCTTATTTATAAACAAGCTAAATTGGATTTCCAATCCTATATTCTGACACATAAAAATAAAAGCACTTAATTCTGAAAGGTTTTCCTTAAGGTGACCAGAACTAAGATATAAGCATTAGACTTTTCCATGTAATTTTACTTTTAACTTCAACTACATGAGTAATACTTTTTGAGAAAAAATATAAATGTCCCTATCTTGCTGTCCCCCAAAGAAAACTAAAAACTTTGTACAGAAGAAAGATTTTCTCCAAAACATTTGCTTCACAATGACTAAGAGATATAATAAATATAAATAGATAAAAAGCTCAATGAATGCCGAATAAATGAATAAAAGAACTATACTAAGTGCTTACATGATGGAGGAAATGCTACAAATGACATTTTAAATTTCATTAAGAGCAAGTCATGGTAATAACCCTCAAAAAAGCTCTAATACTAAGAGTCCGGAAAATGTAAGTTTCAAAAACATGTATACATCCTATTGTTACATCACAAAGGAACTTATTGCCTTGGTTAGAAAAAGTGAGCATCTGAGGCAGAAACAATTTAGTCTACTCTTTTGTTATGTAATCAATAGCTGATTCATTTAACCTAATGATCAATAAATGATATTTTTCTTTTACAAGAAGTATTTTCACTTAAGGTTGTAAACTAAGTATCTTTCAAACTGATTCTACTAAATTGATAACTTCAACTCTGAGCATGTAGAAATGCCAACATGACTGTAAGAAAGAATAAAACAAAACATCTTGATTACTACAGTCACTGTTATCTACTTGTAAGTGTCCAAAGCTTGGGAATGTTCTAAAAATGCAAAGAGAAGACATGCAAGTTGCAGTGCTAAAGTGTACATTCCATGTAATACTATTGTATGAACACATTTATTTTTCTTTTAAAAATGGTATTATTTATTTTCTTATAATAGTCATTATAGCCCAATCTCATTTCAATATTATATAAGTATTTTTCTTTGGATCTTTTAGGCAACGTGAGAAACACATTATATAAAAGAATTTAGGCCGGGCGCGGTGGCTCACACCTGTAATCCTAGCTCTCTGGGAGGCCGAGGCGGGAGGATTGCTCGAGGTCAGGAGTTCGAAACTAGCCTGAGCAAGAGCGAGACCCCGTCTCTACTATAAATAGAAAGAATTAATTGGCAACTTAATATATATAGAAAAAAATTAGCCGGGCATGGTGGCGCATGCCTGTAGTCCCAGCTACTCGGGAGGCTGAGGCAGAAGGATTGCTTGAGCCAGGAGTTTGAGGTTGCTGTGAGCTAGGCTGAGGCCATGGCACTCACTCTAGCCTAGGCAACAAAGTGAGACTCTGTCTCAAAAAAAAAAAAAAAGAATTTAACCATCATTCAAAATAATTCTTAACTTTATGTGAAATGGGGAACACATTCACAAAATTACCTGACAAGCAATCTGCACGAGGTAGACCAACTCTTTAGATTCACAGCCATTTTTCATTACTTCATTCTGTTCTTCTGAAAGTGAAAGCTGTATCAGAGAAGAAAGTGAGAACAGAAGGGCAGAAAGTCATGATTAGTGAACAAAAATAAACTAAGCATTCATAGTGTCTTGGACTCTCACATCAACTTAATGCAAGACACCTTATATTAGAACTCTATTGCTTAAATAAAGATTTCCAGATTTCAAACAAAATACATATCTAGAATCTTATATTTAGATATTAAGTGTAGCCTGTATCTAAACTAACACAAATGCCTAACAGCAGTAAATATTAATAAAACATTCACTTAAGAGCAAATCTTCACTTCCTTCATTTATATAGCATAAATGTGAAAGGAAGGCATTAAAATAAGCACTGAGAATATGACTTAATTGTGTAAAAGAGCTCAGACCTTACTACACAGACTATAAATTGGCTGCCCAGAGAAGAGGTTGGGCCTACAGACTTGTTTAATTTTGGACTACCATGTAGGTCTGCATATCAGATTTTATTTTATTTTTATTTGAACCAGAAGCTAACATATAAAAGCTGGGAGGTTTCATATGAAAAATATAGATTTCTAGCTTTGACAAAAAAAAAAAAAAAATCAGACAATTGGCAACAACTGGCTACAGCTGAGAAGTGACCATCACCTTTAAATGAGGCATGTATTCTCCAAGAGTTTGCCACATAACTCATCACTCTATTTTGTTCCCAGCATCTAGGCAAAACACTGTCATTCATCATACTACTTGCTTGGTTTTGTTTCTTATACCCCACTTGCTTTACTCATTTATGTTATACACCTGCCCATCTTTGGATACAATTTTGCAAACTCTGTCCATCTCTGGATTGACAACCTTGAGTTCAAAAGTGTCAATAACTGGCTATGTAATATTGACCTACCCACTTAATCTCTCATCTGGAAAATGGGGATGATATAATAATACCAATTCTTGAGTTTGAGGGTATTAAATGAGATGATATATGAACAGTGTTCACCAAGGTAACTAGTACTTAAGAAATGTAATGTACCATAACAGTTAATATAAGAAATACAAGGTTGATGAAGATACATTCTCTATTTAGGAAAGCAGTATCCCTGAAAGTATTTTTTTATAATCTTAAGTAGAAGCTGTTCACAAGGTAACAATCATTAACTAAAACAAGCCAGATTAACTGCAAAGTCATAGTTTAAAAAGAAATCAAAGAATTAAGCGTGAAAAGAAATGTAAATGAACTAGGTTTGAGAAAGTGAAAAGATTTGCAAGAGACAGAAAAGACTCAAGCATGTGTCTGGATGCCTGGCAGAAATCCAAGAGGATAAATAATCTACTTTAGACAGGGTAAGAAGAAATCAGCCAAACCTTGAGTGACTGCACATAGACTAAAGTGACAAACTAAAATTATAGGGAGCACCTTGTAGCAGAGAGTTGATACCCACCCATCAACTGATGCCCATAGATATTCACTAAGGGTACAAGGTCAGTATACCAAAGGCTGGGAATGAGCAGAACATTGAGGAAGAGAACCTGTGAAGTGTGGGAGCCTCTCCCAAGTGCAAGGCAGCTAACCTCCCTGGACTGGGATCAGGGCAGTAAAACTCAGAGAAAACAGAACTGAGAGAGATCCTTCTGAGGGACTCAGGACGTTCAACAACTGAAGGCTGGAGGTGGCACAGAAAAGCTAAGAGAAACCCCACTGAGATAGTCCAGGCCTTCATAGAGTACAATGCAGGCACTCTCTCAGGTACTGGCAAAGGGAAGACAGCTCTTCTGAAGCACAGAAAACTAGGGGAAAATGAGAGAGAGAGAAGAGAATGAATAACCAGGCTGTAAATGAGAGGGAGAATGTGTACTCTCTTGGTTCAGAAGACGGCGGCTACCCAGTAAAGCATAAAGACATCTTCAGCATCTCACCAGCCTTCAATTTTCCCTGTGAAAAAAATCTTTGGACCTTACCCTCAAAATATTTGAAAGAAATGATAAACTAAATTAAGCTAAAGCTGCCACAAAGACCAGATCTATACCAAATATAGATCAGCTTGATTCAGCCTCCCAATCTAATGGACTGGAAGAAGGGAAAAAGCCCTTTCCTGGAGATGTCTCAACTGTCTTTATATAACATATTTCACATGAAAAAATTACAAAACACAGAGAAGCAAGATAATGTGACCCATGGACATTAGAGGAAATAGTAAAATAAATCAGACACAGAAATGGGTCAAATGTAAAAATAATAAGAGAATATACATTAACTATAATAGCCATTCTAAAATGTAACTGAAAAGGTAAACAATATGCAAAGACACGTGCAAAAGAGAAGATTCTGGAAAGATGGTTGACCAGGAGGCACCAGGGATCTCTCTCTCTACCTAGACAACAACCACACGGGCAGAATGTTTGGTGTAACTGTTTTGAAATTCTGATTTCCATCTGAGACTTGCAACTTCCAGAGGAAGGCATGTATGGGAAACTGCAGTTCATTCTGGTCAACACCAGCTCTTAATAAAATAGCAGCTACCAATCCCTACTTCCCAACCTTGTAGCAGGCAGCTGTGCACATAGTCCTGGGGCAGCAAACATTTACTATACAAGAGTCTGCATATACAGGGTATGCAAAAAGGATGTGGCCTCCAAATATCAGAGATCAATCCTGTGACTACTGATCACTGCTTCTGATCACTGACATGCAGAAAAAGAGGTGTGTGTTCATTATTATTGGATCTCCCTCCATTGCTACAAGCCTATGCCCCTCTGGCTCAAGTGACTTCCAGGAGACTTAAAGGGCCAAGCCCTTTCCCTTCCCTGTACCTCTTCATTTTTTTCTTTTTCCTTCACTGCCCCTCTTCATTTTTTTCTTTTTCCTCTTTTGGAAGACAAATATAAAAGACTAGGACATTCAAAAGCAAGTGCACATACAGGGAAAATTAGAAAGTAACCACACATGCCTAAGGCAGGGAGTAGGCTCAGAAAAGACCTGAGAGGACATTGTTTCCACCTCAAAGGCTTTGGCACAGAAACAGCCTACAACAATTAAAAAATCAAAAACAATAAACATAAATAGTTTAAAAAAAACAAAAACAGAAAATCCTGGGGTAGGGAAAAATCTGATTTCCAGAGTTAAAATATTATTAGATTCAAAAGTTCATTTTCAAAAAAAAAAAAATCACAAGGCATATAAAAAAACAGGAAAGTATGGCCCTTTCAAAAGAAGACAATGAATCAAAAGAAACTAACTGTTCCTGAAAAAGACCTGAGGGCAGATCCACTAGACAAACAACTGTCTTCAAGATGCTCAAAGACCTAAAGGAAGTTGTGAGAAAAGTAAAAAAAAAATTGTATGAACAAAATGGAGATATGAATAAAGAGATAAAACCTAAAAAAGAACCAAAAGCAAATTTTGTAGCTAAAAAGTACAATTGAAATGAAAAATTCAATGTAAGGATTCAAATGCAGATTTGAGCAGGCAGAGGACAGAATTAGTGAGCTTGAAGATAGGACAATGGATAATGGATCCAGTGTCAGGAAAAGAAAGAAAAAAAAGATCTAAGGAAAGTAATCAAAGCCTGATGGACACAATCAAGTGAACCACCATATGTATTAAGTCATTAAGTGTGAAATATCCGATTTTCTCAAGTACTAAATTTAACCGTTGATCTCTGACATTTCACTTTGACACTTCTTGTTTTTTTTTCCTATTGTGAAGGTACATCCTCAGTCTTTCAAATGTACATTTTAGCTTGTGATTATCTTTCATATTTTCTTTGGAGCAATTTTTGTGAAACTACAGATAAGTCAAAACTTCGTGTTATTTTGGAATATGAGTTCCATCATGGAACCAATGCAATCCGGCTGCTCAAAATATCATCGAATCATTTGGGAAGAATGTGGCTAGTGAATCCATAGTACATTGATAGTTTGAGAAGTTTCATTTTGTGATTTTAATTTTGAAAGTGAGCCATGTGGGTGACCTGAGACCAAGGAGGATAATGATGATCTGAAAGCTATAGTGAAAGCAAATTCATCTCAACCTATGAGTGAATTAGCAGCAAGGTTTAATGTTACTATTCCAATAATACTGGACCATTTTGAAACAAATGGTCAAGGTAAACAAGGTAGACAGTTGGTTGCCACATAAATTAAACAAGTGTCAAAAGAGAAATTGTCTCAAAGTTTACCTTTCTTTGTTGTCATGACATAAAAGCAAACTATGTCTACATTGTATTGTTATGTGTAATGAAAAAATAGACTCTTTTTGACAATTACAAGCATTCAGCACAATGGTGGATAAAGACGAAGTGCCTTAACACAGTCCAAAACCAAAGATTCATCAAAAAAAGTTAATGGTGTCTATTTGGTGGTCCACTAGTGGTATTATCCACTATTATCCACGAAACCTGGTCAATGGATTACAGTGGGTGTCTACTGCAACCAATGGGATGAAATGATGAGGATGTCTACCATTAAGCATCTGATGAGATTGGTCACTAGAGACAGGCTAATCCTCTTGTAAGACTGAATGTCACAAAAAACAATGCTACTCACAACTACAGAGGCTAGATTTGGAAACTCTCTGTCATCCACTGTATTTTCCAAACCTTGCACCAACTGACTACCACTTCTTCCAGGCTTTGGACCATTTCTTACAATTCTCAACAAACTGTGGAAAACACCTTTTGCAATTTCATTGCCACTAGCTCTCCAGGTTTCTTTGTTGCTGGCATAAATAAGCTACACTTAAGATGGCAAAACTGTGTTGATAGTTTAAGTGCATACTTTAATTTTAGTGCTTCTTGTTTGAGATTTAATGAACTAAACTTTTGATTTAAGATGGGACATTTCATATTTAATGACCTAATATGTAGGACTCCCATAAAAAGAAGAAAAAGGGGCAGAGAGATTATTTAAAAAAATAATGGCCAAAAACTTCCCAAATAGGATGAAATACAGGACTACAAACATCCAAGAAACTCAATGAATTCCAAGTAGGATGAACTCAAAGAGACTCACAACAAGACACATAATAATCAAATTTCTGAAAAAGA